GCTCTCACCTGGGGGGGACTGCAGCTCCGTGCTGGGCCGCCCTGCAGCCCCTGGAGCCCAAGGTGACTCACACAGGCCCAGGGTCCCACCCTAAGAGCCCTGTCCCTCCCACCCCTCCCCCATAGGGTAGACCCACGGTGCATCCCTAAGTGGAGGAGGGGACATCTCAGCAATAGTTCCAAGATTCCAACAGATCCCGGGCTGAAGAATCAGGATTAAAGACGAGCCTGGAGGCTCTGGCTTATTGAGACAAGCACAGGCAGGTAGAGCCTCCACGGCCTGCACTCAGAATGCCCACTTGCCAGTTGCCTGTTTGAAACTGGGGTGTGTTTCCTACTCACAGAAGTAAATGTTATCAAAACAACTCTGTAAAACACAGCATGCAGGTGCTGAAACCCACCAGAAACCAACTGTTTATTTAACCCTTTGTTTCTCAAAGGAAACTAAAAGCAGATAAGGCAGCTGACTCCCCTGCACAGGCCTGGGGAGGTGTCTTCTAGTCTCTTGAAGGGCTTTTGAAGTAGCCAGTTATTCCATTTAACTTAATTTCACACCGGCCCTGGTGGCTCACATCTGCAATCCCAGCACCTTGGAGGCTGAGGCAGGAAGAGAGGACAGAGTGAAGGGCCAGGCTGGGCTAGGGGGAGACCTAGCTTTGAAGAACAAAAGGGAGATAAGAGTCCCTTCACAACACACAACTTTTAGCAGAAGAGAACACTGTCTGTGCTTTGCTGCTGTCATATATTTAAATTTAAATGTGAATTAGGACAAAGAAAGGCAAGTGAGGTGTGAGGGACAGGAATGTCACTTTAAATCAGGTTTGCTTTCCAGTGCTGGAGATGGACCAGTGCCTGGCATACAACAGCCTAGCCCTCTATCACCGAGCCTCACCCTACCCAGAACTCAAGATAAAATAGGGATGTCCCCATCACAGCTTTGCTTTTCCTCCATACGAGCACATTAAAGACAGTCTCTGCGATGCAGACAGGAGGAAACAAGAGAGGACAGGGAGACAGAAGGTGACTGAGCAAGGGGCTAGGGAAACGGCTCAGGGAGTAAAGCGCCTGCTACACACGCATGGGGTCCCCAGCACACGCATAAAAGCCAGGCAGGTGACTCTAGCACTAAGTTGGTGATAGTGGGTGAGGCGTGGACACAGGACAAATCTCAGAGACACCGCCTCCAAACACACACACCAGTCAATCTAGTCCAAACAGCAAGCTCCAGGTTCAGTGTGAGACTATCTGAAGACATAAAATCTTCAGGACAGTCATCAACCTCTGGCCACACGTGCCCACACAAGCAGCTGCAGCCCCACACACTCATGCACACACATGTGCGCACAGGGTGGAGAAAGAGAGACAAGGCACACGTGACACCGCTCCCCCAGACAAGCGGTTTATGATCACCCCACCCTCTAATGAGAGCATCATTGAGTCAGGCAGGGGGATACTGGCGGGATTAGGGATTGTGCGGAGACTGCTCTTTCGGCACGGCAGAGAAGTGTGCGCATGGAGGGCATCTCCAGGAAATCACACTGAAACGTTTAGGGTTAAATGTTCAGCCAAAAGCATTATATCTGAATACATAACTTGTATAATCACATTAACCATATTATGACCAAAGTCACATTTTGCAGACTTGGCAAAAATGGATGATTTTTTTTTTTTGCTTTGTTTTTGTTTTGAGAAAGAGTCTCACTGCGGAATCCAGGTTAGCTTCAAACTCCCCATCCTCTTGCCTCCACTGTCCCAGGCTTGGGATTGACCATGTGAGGCACCAAACCCAGTCTCAGCTGAAATCAGCAAGAAGAAACTTCATCCCACCCTTAGACCAGGCTGGGGCTCTAGTCGGCCCTCTCCCAGGGCTGGGCACAGGGAATGCTCAGAATGGCTAACCCCACCTCGGTCTACCCTCCTTTCCCTCCGTCCATCTCTGCTCCTTCAAAACAAGGCAACAGCGAATGTGGTCATTAAGACACTTAGCCTGGCAGGGTCCTGAGAGCCAATGGCATAGGTGGCTTCTCCTCTAGGGTTTTCTGGATGCTCTATCCTCATTTTAGGGCCCTCCCATGGGGTGGGGGTATTTACTTGAAGAACTCAGTTTATTCCTATTTTACTCCACAGGTCAGAAACAAAGAAAATAAACTGTTTTGGCTTTTATCCCAGAAGGTCATACAAACATATGGAATGACAATAGCCCCTGACTGTATCCTCCTGACACCTGTCACCTGGTCTGGGCTCCAGAGTCTCACAGAGCACTCAGCTGTTTCCTGAACTAGCCAAGAAGAAGCACCTTCAGGTCATCACCTGACCTATGCAGGCCTTCTCACCTCTGCCCTCCCTACTGCAAACACTGTCAGGAAGAGCTGGGCCTGGGATCCCCGGGGTCTCCTTCCCTTGTCAGTGCCTGGGAAACTGGGATACCTCCTCCATAACTCCACACGGCCAGGGTGATTCTCGGGCTTTGCACATTCATGGAGTTCGTCCAGTTGTGGAATTTAACTTATGACTTCATACCTAATAAGTCCCCTAGTCCAGCAGGGTTGGGTGGGAGTTTAGGAGCTGCTGCCAGTGTCTAGGGGAAGCCAAGCAGAGGCGGGAATGACAAAGGCATTCCGAAGCTTCATGCCAGCCTCATCTCTACTGATTTGGTTGCCCTGTTATACACAGACTGGGAAAAAACACTTGCTGGTTTGTACTGTTAATGTTCAGTAAACAAGTATCCAACTTCTCAGTTACCACTGAGAGTAGCACACACACACAGACACACAGACACACAGACACACACACACACACACACACACACACACACACACGCACACAGAGTTGAGGTGTTACAGAATAGCACTTTCTGAATGTGGATCAATGTCACAAGAGTTCAGCCTGGAAATAAAGTGGTTGTGTTGGCCCATGGTGGGTTCCATGTCCACCCTAGCAATGTGCTGCCCCTCTGTGCTCTGGGACAATCAAGCAAGCCAGGTTTCTTTTTATAAAGAATAACTTGATCTATTTTTCCACCTGGGTCTCTTCTAGGAAGATGTATTTTTTTTTTAGAATGCTGTTTTGTCTGAGAAGGAAGCAGTTTCCTTGAAGTGACCCCCACCCCAAAGGACAAGTTACAGCTGTACCACTTCCTCAGGTAGAAACAAGCAGGTCAAATGTGGGTCTCCTACCCATGCCTGTTTGGCTGGACACTGAAAACCTCGGGGGGAAGGAGGGCCAACCTAGAGACTAGCAGAGAAGTCAGCCTGTCTGTGCACCTGGAGGTCAGCTAGCATGGGCCACTGAGGAATCCAGAAACTCCATCTGCTAATTGGGTGTGGTTTAGGCACAGAACTTAACTTACAGGTGTCTGAGCCTTCAAAACCTCTGCCCTTGCAGAAGCACCAGGAGATCCCAGGAGGATTTCATCTCACAGCAGTGCCCTGGTGGTCTCAGCCCTTTTGCACCATGATTACTTTCTTCAGGAATGAAGGTTAGAACCTTGGCCGTAGGCACTCAGACATCATGTTTCCCAGGTCCCGTTCCCTCTTACTCAACATCAGTTCACTAGCCCCAAAGGACTGTCAATGCTACTGAAAACTGAAGCCTCATTTGTCTTCCCCACATGAAATGACTGCGTAATTTCCCATCTGGCCATTGGCATCTGAAGTTAAGAGTTAAGTCATAACCACATCCTGTTAATACAGTAATCAAAAGTAAAATTCAGGCAGCCTGGGCACCCACATGATACCACAATGAAGGGACTGCCACGAACTGGCTTCAATTCCAGTTTGTCTTGGGCAGGGCACCCAGGCTATTTGCAATCCTGCATGGAGGGTGCCCAGCTCAGCTCCCTAACCCCTGCTGCTCACTCCTCATTCCACAGTCACCACCCTTGAATCAGCTAAGTAGAGAAGATGTCCTTGAACTCCTGTTTGCTACAGATGTGCTCCATTGCCCCAGGGAGAGCCAGTCTTTACTGTACTTTACCAAGCAAAGTCCCGACAATGCTGCACCTATGACATTTCAGAAATTAACTGCCAAGCTAGGTATGTAAATCCCTTTCTTTCCATGTTGATTAGTGGTAAGATGCCTGTTCCGGGCACAAAAGACACTAGGGTCAAGCCTCACAGCTGCCCAAATCATGAAGTTAAGATTGCCTTTCCCCCAACATTCCTGCCTCCCAGCCACTGATGCTACCCAGCTCTCTACTACATTAAAACAAACCCCAGTGTTACCTTCTTAGACATTTTCCCTATGTAACTGAAAACACATTAAATATTTGATCTCCCCTTACTACGATGAGAGCTAGCTAGCAGGTCCATAAATAATCCATTGACCTGGTTCATTTTTCTGGACAAAATTGATCATAAAAATACATACACAAGCGTTTGTGTTGTCTGACTCTTAAAAATTCTACCCTTCAAAATTTTGAGCACTCTGAACTGAAAAAAGAATAATATTTGACAACCCCCCACCACGAACAAAAAAAAGGAAATCTCCTTCGTGGCCACCAGCTTTTTAGAAACAATTTGAAATACATCCCAGCCCCCACCAACGGCTGGTTACACACTTCGGTGTGTGACACAGCCCACTGGCGTTTCCATAAATTCTGAATGGTCTGGGAGCTGTCTGAGTTGGCACGCGCTTGCTAGCAAGGCCATCCGAGCGCTGGACCTCTTAAGTGTCACTCAAAGGTTTTTCTGGTTATTTGTATCTGCCAGCGTCTTTGCATAAAGCCACAAGCCTGTGTCCCAAAAGTAAAGCCCAAGTACGAACCACCGCTGGAAACTATAGCAACTTTTGCTGGAGAGCGAGGCTGGGCGAGGTCAGTGCAGGGGTGGGTGGGGGGAGTCCCCCAGGTTTCCATCGGGTCCCTCGCAAGAACCCTTCGCGGTGAAGACAAAGGAGCCCTAAGCCCGGAGAGTCAAGCGCGGGAACGAGAGCTTCTGAAAAGAAGCATGGGTTAGAGACAAAAAATTTAAAAATAATAATAAAAAAAGGAAAGCGACCCACCTGCGGGAGGCGCGGCGGCGGGTCCGGGGCTGCGGAGGCGGCGCGACCCTCGCGCCCTCGAGGCACCGGCGCGGCCGCTGGAGTGGCGCCGCCCGCCGTGCTATTTGTACTCGCGGCCCCTCACATGGTCTGATCTCTAGATAGCTGCCGCCAAAGAGCTCCGCAAGAATTTTTGCGTCACTTTGAGACCGAAGAACTTTATGGTTTTCCGCGGCCGCAGCTCTGCTGTAGCTGGAGGCGGGGGAGGGGCGGGGGTCCACGAACCCTGGCCGGTGGGAGGCGGACAGAGCCCCCCATTCATTCACACTCACTCACTCATAATCATCCACATTCACACTCACCCACACTCACGCGCACACACAGAACTCAGGGCCGGGGTAGGGCCAGGCAGGGCAAAGGATGATTCTTCTGCCCTTGGACTTGGGTGGCGGGAGGATGCTCCACTAACCGAAGTTAATTTTTTCCTTTGCCAAATCTGCCCCCAAATTGTGTGTAGGTCCTGTTCCGTCCTGTTCCGTGTCACTTCCGACGAGCGCTCGTTCTTGACCACAGGCGGGCACCCCAGACAGATCTGGACCATCTTTCCAAGTACTTAAAGAACCCGACATTGTTCTGGGTTCTGTAGGTGGGACGTGAGCTCAGCCGGGAACCTCCACGTGCCGGGAGCCGCCCGCGGCTGCCTACAATAAGTACCCCGGGGGAAGCCGAGGGTGCTGCGGTCTTGCTACCTAGCCACAGACGAAAACAGTTTTGCAGAGAATGTCGGTGCTGGTCCGCAGACCCGCCGGTGCCCCTGGGACTGGGCACCCGACAAACGACCAGCCTTTGAAGGCACTCAGCGTTTCAACGGGAGCACATTGTTGTCAAGTGTGTATGGGTTGTCTTGTTTACACACGCAGGCTTAAGCATGAATTTAATGTTGCTACATTCTTTTTTCATCAAAATTACGGGAACTTTTTTTTTTTTAAGAGCGGTACTTGTTTTGGACTGTGCCTGAGGCAGAGAAGCCAGGACCGGGGCTCGCCTGTTCTATCTCTCCTCATCCAGCCAGGGAACTGGGGGAGCAACATCAAAGCTAGGGAGGAGATAGTAATGGCGAATCTGTGGCTGCGAGAAAGCTTCCGGCCCCTTTGTTCCAGAGGGACTTGAATCTAGACCTCGGAACCCCCAGCTGGGTTGAGGAAGGCTTGGATGGCTCTCTGTCCGCAGGTGTGGGCGACTCCGGGCCGCAGGGATCATCAATACGAGGCTTTGGTGCCACCTAGACGCCAGGACGGGGGACTGCAAGGAGAGGCCGGAGAGTGGACTGGGGAAGCTACCCAGGGCAGACAAATCCCAGAGTCGTGGGGCCTTCACCGGGCTCCTTTTTTTTTTTTTTTTTTTTTTTTTTTTGAGACAAGGTTTCTCTGTGACTTTGGAGCCTGTCCTGGAACTAGCCCTTGAAGACCAGGCTGGTCTCGAACTCACAGAGATCCGCCTGCCTCTGCCTCCCGAGTGCTGGGATTAAAGGCGTGTGCCACCAATGCCTGGCTTGGGCTCCCCCTTTCCAATAAACAGTGTCTGCTATCCCCGCCGCCCCGCCCCAGGGACTGTCACTACCTTGCATACACAAAGCTGCCAAAGAATGAGGTCGTTTTGAGGAGGGTTCCAGGCAGACAGAGGAGCAAGGCTCTTGTCTTCACTGCGGCTGTCCCCACGTGGATTAATTGTTACGGGCTCATTCCTGACCTTCCTAGGCCTTGCCTCCTCCTGCCCGGTTGCTTCCCCCTTGTTGGTACTGCCACCTTTGTGTGTGCTAGGTGTTGGCGACATTCCTCCGAACTAGATGAGGTAGGGGAGTGCAAACCCTCTTCTGTTTGGGGTTGGGCCAGGCCCTTAGCCCCAGAATCCCGGGTCTTGTCTTGGAGAATGATAGCAATGTTGGTCCAGGCTGTGGGGGATGGAGAGGCTCTCTCTCCAGGGATGCTGAGTTCTCCCTTCAGCTGGGACTAACCCCAGGTGGTCTCACCCTGCCCCCCCCCCCGGGTTGTAAGAAAGGCCACTCGGCTGTGCACACAGTGCCCATCCCTCACTCCCCACAGCTCCCGGGGCTAGTGAGAATTCATATCCTCTCTCTAAGTGTTTTCTTTCCTCTTACCCGGAGGCCACCCTGCAGGAGCAACTGTCCAGCAGTCCTCAGCACGCCTAGCCCCTCTCCCTGCAGAGCCCTGTTTGCCTTCCCACACATCCTGCCTTCCTCCCCCACCAAGAGCCCCGTTTCTGACATTTGGTGGGGATACGGGGAGGAGATGCAAGCCAGAAGCCCACAAAGACATTGCACCGAGTTGGTACATGAGGAGAAGGCTTGACAAAGGAGACTGATGGAGGGAAGATGCTAGGCACTCCTCTCTTTGCTCACTTGCTTGATCCCAGAGACATGGGGCTTAGGGGCTAGGTGCAACCGTCTTCCACAGCAACAGACACCACCACCACCGTCACCACCACCACCACCGTCACCACCACCACCGTCACCACCACCACCGTCACCACCACCGTCACCAAGAAGACTAGCTGGAGTCCCAAAGCCTGACAGTGATCCACTGAGGATACGGTCAGGACAAAGCCCTATGCCAGCTGCTCCCTCAGGAAGCTCCTGGTGCCGTGTCTGTCTGTCTGCTTGCATTCTGTTTACACAGTGGCAGAAGACGGAAACCCTCCCTTCCTCCTGGGCTTCTTCTCCTGCCCAGGAAATGGCAACCAGCACCACTCCCTGTCAGGGAATCTCCTGCTTCAGAGGTCTGCCATGGTGGCCTGTTATCTCCACGGCAGCTAACTGGGGCTGACCCAGCTGATAATGATGATGAACCAGATGAAGGGTACCAGGGCTGACCATGTTAGGGTGTAGGGAGGGCCAGGCACAGTTCTGACAATGGCAGGGAACACAGTAAATAGACTTTGTCTTGGTCACTTTGTTTCTGGTCTCAGCCATTCCTGGGCCTCAAGCCTCTGAGGAACACAACCTTCTCTAAATGCCACACCGCCCTGACTGCCACGTCTTGCCTGGGCCTCACGGGCTGTCCTCTCACGTGAGTGCTTTAATTCCTCTCTGAGCTTCCTTACAGAAGTGGTCCTACCTCACAGGAGCACTCGTGGGCCATAAAGCCGAACATGCTGCCAGCCACCCCATCAATGCTCTCTCACCACTAACTAACCCAGGAGCAACTCTGAAATCACAAAATAAAGTTCTTGTCACACTGGTGTTGATGGGAGTGACATTTGTTCCTCACATTTTTAAAAGGTGGGGAAGGGTGTGGCTAATGTGGAAGGTGTGGGGGGATTATACACAAGGATTGGGGGGCATGTGCATTTATACACAAGGATTGGGGAGCGTGTGCATTTATACACAAGGATTGGGGAGCGTGTGCATTTATACACAAGGATTGGGGAGCGTGTGCATTTATACACAAGGATTGGGGGCATGTGCATTTATACACAAGGATTGAGGGCATGTGCATTTATACACAAGGATTGGGGAGCGTGTGCATTTATACACAAGGATTGGGGAGCGTGTGCATTTATACACAAGGATTGGGGAGCGTGTGCATTTATACACAAGGATTGAGGGCATGTGCATTTATACACAAGGGTTGGGGGCATGTGCATTTATACACAAGGATTGGGGGGCATGTGCACTTCCAGGGTTTTGAAACATCTCCCTCTATAGTCCAGGCTAACCTTAACTTTGAAAGTTTCTTGCCAGGCTGTGGTGGCCTCCCTCATGCTGGACTTAGACATGCACCACCTGACTTTGAACCAGCCTTTGTGTGTGTGTGGAGGGGGGGGCAATGTAGGCCAGAGATTGATGTGTCTTTCCCAATTGCTCTGCACAGGTTTTTGAGAGAGTATCTCTCCACTATTTGGCTAACTGCTGCACCAGGGACCCCTTTCTTCCAGCACTGGAGTCACAAGCATGTTTGTTTTTACCCAGCTTTGTTTGTTTATTTTTAATATAGATTCTGGTGATTGTACTCTGGGTCCTCTTGCTTGTGTAGTAACCACTTGGCTGACTGAGCCATCTCTCCATCTCCTGAGTCAAGGTTTTTCTTTTTCTTTTTTCCTTTCTTTGGTGTTTTGAGACAGGGTTTCTCTGTGTGGCTTTGGAGCCTATCCTGGAACTAGCTTTCGTAGACTAGGCTGGTCTAGAACTCAGAGATCTGCCTGCCTCTGCCTCCTGAGTGCTGGGGTTAAAGGCATGCACCACCACCACCTGGCAAGGTTTTTCTATTTTTATACTCATCCTACTAGATTCCCTCCCTATCTGTAAACACCCCTAGTTAGGGTCACATTCTGGTGGCAGCTGGTTTCCTACTCCATCTTGGTAGAGAAGCCAGAAGCACAGAGTTCTAGAAGGGCCCTACACCTGTGTGTACAGATGTGTACAGCACTTCTGTCTCGATGCCCCAGTCCCCCACAAAGCTCGGAGCTGCTTGGGAGTCTGATGTGGCAATCAAAACCAGTCTTTAGGGTTGGAAAAGAAACCATGGCATACTGACAGTCATCCTAGGGTCAGGGCTGGGATAGTGATGCCTTTAAACCCAGCCTAGGAGTCTGACATAAGGGGCTGCACAGAGACCATGTGTCCTATAAAGAAGAAAGAGGAGAGAAAGCAAATTTATATTTACGTATATGTTATGTATATATACAAATTTGTGTGTGTGTGTGCGTGTGTGTATGTGTGTGTGTGTGTGTCTAACTATACATCACATGTGGCAGGTGCCCACCATAGAGGCCAGAGAGTGCATCAGAGTTCCTGGAGTTAGAGCTGCAAGTGGTTGTGAGCTGCCTGATGTGGATGCTGGGAACCCACACATTTAGAAAGGCCTGATGTGCTCTTAAGCACAGAGCCATCACTCTGGCCCGCTGTGAACTTTTCATACTATTAAGAATTTGCAGTAGGGGCTGCAGAGATAGCTTGATGGTTAAAAGCACTTGCTATTTCAGAGGACTCTGGGGGTCCCCACCATCCATAGGGCAGCTCACAGCCATCTGTAACTACAGTTCTAAGGGATCCAATGTCCTTCTGACCTCTGCAGGCACCAGGCACATTGTAGTGCATACATAGACAT